CTGTGCCTCCTCTCATTTAATTAGGAGGATTTCACATTTTTTTATACAAAGATATTTAGGAACTGGACAAGAACTGTCTTAAATCATTACTCCCCAGCATGGCAAAAATCTGCAAGAAATTTTCCTACTTTACAATCTCACATTCTATAAGGAAATGTTGTCCTTGTTTTTCCATTTCTGTTGCATGCACAGATCTGTGTGTGTGTGTGTGTGTGTGTGTGTGTGTGTGTGTGTGTGTGTGTTCTGATCGTGCAGAAGGAACTCCTAACCTGGGGAGGATTTTTCTCTTCATCTCTGTTCTCTGCCTTAAGTGTTTTACTCCAGGGAGGCCCAAACTTATCTCCTATGGTGAGGTTGGGAAATCAAGAGAGACAGGGAAAACTAAAGGAAGTCAAGCTTTGGGGAAATGTCCTAAAGTAGAATGTGGGTCATGGGGGAGTGAAGTCAGACTTCACTGAAGAAAACTGCTCCATTCCACCCACAGAATGCCTCAAGGTCCCCTGGGCAAGGTGCTTCCTTTTCACACCCACAACCACAGTTCCCCACTACCTGCTCCTGAAGAAGGTCTCACCAGGCAGAAAATCTGCGCATGTCTTGGGGGATAAAGTGGATATACAGGGCAGCTGAGGCACAGCCACAAGGAAGAGGAGATTGAGACTCAGGTGGGATGCTATGTGTGAGTCTACCTCTGCTTGGAACCCGGGGTCAGATGGGAGCTGTATGCTAGACAAATCCAGAGTGACCTGTGATTCCTGGTTCACACGGTCCAGGGGTGCCTCCTTCTGGGATTTCTGAGCCTGATACATATACACTGGCAATGCAAGCTGACCCTTAAAGACAGAGCCTTATAAGAAGTGAGCCCTCGTCCTCTGACAGTTCCTTTGATTCTTAATTGCTGTGCTAAATTTTGTCTTGTACATCCATTCATGTATTCCTCAAACATTCATTGATCATCTCTTACATGCTGAGCCCTGGGCTATAACTAAAGATGCAAAAAAAGTTGTAAGAGAGTGTTCCTGGGAGTAGGACTGTGAGACAGAAGACAGATGCATACACCCTGTTATGGTTTAGAGCTAGAATGTCCCCACCCCTACAACCTCCTGTGTCCCAAGGCTGGACTTCCAGAAAGTGAGCAGATCTTGGGTCACTAAAGTTGACTTACTACTGGGAGGTAGAGTGTGGTCAGAGCCGGTTCTTGGGGCATGACCTGGAAGCCTATCACTTTCCCAGGGGCTTCATTCCCACTTCTTGGCTGCCATGACATGAGCAGCTTTTCTCTGCCAGGCCTTTCTGCCTGGCTACTTCTGCCCTGGAGCCAGTTGACCGGAGCCAAAATAGATCTCTTCCCCTTTACACAAGGATGTCATTTGCTTCATTTCAGTGAGGAGAGACTAAGACACAGTCATTTCTCCCCAGCATAACTGGTGGGGGAACCACTCTTTGGGGAGAGTGCTGGGGATGAGCACTCATCTACAGCAAGGCTGGGGCCAAGGAGGTGTGCATGGGAAGTTTCAATTACGTCTATAAGGTAAAAATCAATATTAATCAAAACAGGGGAAAGCACATTTCAGTTAGATAGCAGACACAAGGCTCTCCATTGACAGCAAACATTATTACATGAGCAAAATGCTGACCCATGCTTTGGGAAATGGGGCTACAGAGAAAAAAAATAAGTGCTCCTGATTGCTAGACTCACCCATCAGGAAAGGAAATAAGACTAGGAAATAAAGATCTACAAAATAGAAGAATAAAAATCGAGGAGTAAATTTAGCTATAACAACTAACAGCCTAAGAAGAGCAGACAAACCATGTTCAAGGTAAATTTCTGACAAGTTCAAGGTTCCAAAGGAAGTGGGAAGGACATGACTGACAGAAAAGACACAGAGCTTCCAACAGGAGTGCAATACATTTTGAGATCTGCAAACAGTTTGATTCAAAAATCAATGAAAAGCATTGAGGAGACAACTCAGCAGTCTAAGTACCTGCCTGGCAAGCACAAGGACCCAGGTTTGATCCCCAGTACTGCATGCCATATCAGCCCTGAAACCAGGCATAGTGGCACACACCTATAATCCCAGTGCTGGGGAGGCTGAGAAAAGAGTTTCACCATGAGTCTGAACTGTGTTTTGAGACCCTGTATCCAATAAATAAATAAATAAAATATAAAAATAAAAATAAGTGAATGAAAAACCTGAAAAAGAAGAGGGCAGATCAACAAGAGTTTTATAGACCTATCAACCTTAGACCTCCTGTTAGATTTGATGACAAAATTCTTTGTTTTATAAAATGCACTGTGACAGTGCTGTGGGTGCAAACTAGAGGTGGTTCTCTTTGGAGACAGGGAAGCCAATGACAGTAATGGCCGTGACAAAGATGACAACAGTGGTGGCGAGACAGACAGGACAGAGAGTTGTATGGCATGGCTCCCAGACAGCCTGGTTAGCAGCTGGAGACTAAGAAAGAAGAGCTGGCAAATCCTGATGGCAAATTCAGTGTAGGGCTCAGTGGAAGGCTTTATGTAAGAATAATCCCAGGTTGCTAGCTTGCAAGTTTTGTTGGATAGGAACGTATATTGGGAGCTTGTTAAGAAACACAGGAAATGCAATGAATTCTGATGTTAAATCAATCTGAGGTACCAAAGACTATCCATTGTATGTTGACATTTGGACCTAGAAAACAAGAAAGACATGCGCTGTGGAATCCTTCAGCAGTGAGGTGGTAGCTGCTGTTGTAGCTAGGAGGGGAGTGAGATCAGCAGTGAGTGCATAAGTAGGAAGGCGCCTGAAGGAATCCAGCAGAGGAGAAAATTGGAAGGGGAGCAGATGAGCTTGGAAAAACGAAAGAGTATCTTCAGCCCCCATTAACTATAAGCATAACTACAACTTAACTACGCCTATAACTATAATGTTGCCATCATTAAATCTGAACCATCTTCAGTTTTTCCTAATTGTTTACCTGATCAGTAACCAGAGCACTTAGACCTCTTCTATCAGGACTGCCTTCCTTCAGATACGAAGATTTTGTTAATTTCTTTAAAATACGTCGATCCTGTTCTCACTCCACCACCTGATCTCCTAATCTATCCCATACTTGGCTATCAGAATTTTAACGTGCTGGATATGATCATATTAAAATTTTAATCAGTGTCACTTGTGTGACTCATTAGGGGTGAATGAAGGTCAAGATGAATCCCATCCCCACGGTGGCTCTGTGCCTAAGCCCCATTTCCTTTCCCCTTCCCACCCTCCCACTATCACCAACATGTGTCTCTATTCCAACCACAGACCCACTGATCAGGCTTTTGGAAGGTTCAGGAAGGAACCCTGGCAGGAGAACTTTCCTCTTCTAAGGTCTTGGGTGAACTCAACTGGCCAAAAATGATCAGGAATATAAGATTTTCTGTATCATACAAAACATTTACCTTGAATATTAAGAAGGAGCCAAGGGCTAATATTAAAAAACTGCTATACCTTACATCCCCCCCCCCCGCAAAAAAAAAGCCATATTTTTTCAGGACATTGAGAAAAAATGCTTAGATAATCCTTGGATTTGGGCCAAGGATTATGATGTAGGAAAAGGAAAGTTTTGGAATTCCATACTAGAAAAATGTAGAGAAGGGGAGAATCAGTGGCTGTGATCCCTGACTCTGAAAGGAATGAGAAGCCAAGAGGTGATTTATTATGGCTTTATTCTTATGTCAAGGAGCTGGGTTGAGCTGGGAGTCTTGGAATCACTCAACAAACACTGCTGGCGATGCTGTGATGATGTCACAAACAAACTTCACCCTGCCCACCCCTGGTGTCCAGAGCTGCCCCAGGTCACCAGAGGGAACCTCCGCCTTCCCCAGCACAGCTGTACCACCCATCCCACTTGACAGGTTAACTGCCAGCACAAAGGGGTGAGTTGCATCCAGATGACTACAAATGCTGCCTTTTTACTTTTCCTGTCCTGGAGGTGACATGCAGCACAGAAGCACTAAGCAGGGATGGCAGTATTGTATATGTTTATTCTAAATAGACATATCAAGAATTTAATACTTTGTTATTGATATATTATGTTCCTGCTAACTACACATTGTATAAGATGGTAAGAACCTCTTGACAAAACAACAAGACCAGCAAGATGTCAAGTATGTCCTACAGAGAGATCAGGAATGCAAAACACATGTGCCCTCAGTGTAAGCGATCTATGCGTATGGAACACACTGTTGACATATGTGCAGGCTGCCTTCGGTGTGACAAACCAAAGTAAAGATTACCTTTTTGGTAGAACGTTATTGGCATTTTCTTTGTAGTTTATATAGGAATGTATTTCTGCTGTTGTTTTTAGACTTGGTACACCAAAAATCAGTCAATGTTGAAAATTTAGATTTTTTTTTATAAACACTCAATAAATACTAAAACTTCAAAAATGTTTCCTGTCATTTGCAGTAGCAAGAAGTTGTGGGCATCTCATCCTGTCAAATAGAGATTCAGCAATTGTAGACCTAGAGTTAATGACCTGCATTCCTCGAGAACTATGCTGATTTTAAAATTAAGTTAGCTATTCCTTTGTTTAGTGAAACTTAGTATCATTTCTAACACTGTTCTTTTTTCTATCACTATTTTATATTCTTTAAAAATTAAAAAAATAAATGAAATAACTTTGTCTGGGAAAAAATAAATTCACTGTATGTATACTCTGAGAAACTAAAATTAAATCAGGTTAGATAAAAATGCTATTTTTATAGTGTGAAGAGAAATCAAAGGTGTGCCCATTAGATCCACTATGAAGTGATGTCAGAGAATAAAAAAATCTCTTCTTAGTCTGAAGCTAAACCTAGCCCAAAGCAAAACTCAAGAGAAGAGGCATTTCTTCTCAAAGTTGTACTTTGTGGCCCTAATATGCATATTTTTGATAAGTTAGAATTTTAGTTTGTCTCCTCCTCTTCTGGTTCTGTCCTTACTCTAATTGCTTGGCAGAACCTAGTGAAGGCAAGGGAAGGGAAGGCTTAGATCGGCCCCTGGATAGCGCGGATTAGTTACTGACCCAGTCTCCATCTTTAAGGGAAGAAAACAACTTTCAAGATTTTGATAGCTTAGGTAGGACTCAGGATAAGAAGCAGGCTCTAAGGTCCACTTCTGTGCCACTAGTTTATCTCTAGAAAGATGGGGAAGTCACCTTCTGGAAGCTCTTTAAAAATGTTGCTGCACATGAGGCCTTCTGCACTGAGTTCAAAGTTATGGACTCCTTGAAATAGTGGTTGTAGTGAATTACACAAAACACATAGGGAACATCACTTCAACTATAGTTTTCCCAATTTTTTATTAGTGCACGTTTTCAGTACATGTCTTGGAAATCATCTTAGGGAGTGGGTCCATGTATATAATACAGTTTTTGTTTCTTTTTAAAATCTTCTTCCACTTCCTTTCCTCTTCCCTTCCTTCTGTCATTTTCCTTTCCCTATTTTTGATTCTTGTTGATATTAAATTTAACTAATGCTCATAGCACATAATCGTTAAATTCATTGAAATTATCAGGCTAATCTTTGTGTCTGTCGCAATTTTACCTTTCTCATTTCTAATCATATGTGTCTTCTTTTCTCTCAGTAAGTCTGGCAAAATGCTTATCTATTTTATTTACTCTTTTTTTTTTTTTTTTTTTGTGTCTTCTTTTCTCTCAGTAAGTCTGGCAAAATGCTTATCTATTTTATTTACTCTTTTTTTTTTTTTTTACCAGGGATCAAACTCAGGACCTTGCATTTGCCAGGCAAACACTTACTCAACTGAGCTATCTCCCTGGCCCCTTTATTTACTCTTTCAAAGATCCAGCTCTTTGACTTGTTAATGCTTTTGTACAATTGCCGTCTCAATTTCATATTTCTGCTCTCATCTTCATAGTATCCCTCGTTCCTTTTGGCTTGGGCCTGGGTTGCTGTTTGTCAAGGATCTTTAGGTTCCTCCAAGGTCATTTATTTGCTCTCACTCTGTTTTCCTAATGTGAGCACTGACTCTGCAGAACTCTCCTCCTAGAGCTGCTCTCAGTGTCCCAGGGGTTCGGGTGAGTTGTACAGTCACTGTCGGGAACTTCCAGAATTTTTAAAATTTCTTCGCTGCGTTGATTTTTCAGGAGCTTCTATATTTTCTGTGATTACTTGTGTCATTCATTTCTGTTTTCATTGACTTGTATTCTGATAATACGCATGGCATAATTTCAATTCTTCTATACTTAAGCAGGCTTTTGGACTAGTTATATGATCTATTTTGGAAAAAGCATCATTTGCTGCAAAAATGGAAAGGTGACTGTTGTAGAGGGTGGAATACTCTGTAGATTTCTAGTAAGTCCAAATGTTCTCAGCTATATTGACATGGTCCTTACAGTTGTTCGAGGGGAGGAACATTCCAAGGCTGTAGGTTAAGAACTGCCACAACTAGAGTCCACAGAATTGAAACGGGAAAGAGACCAGCAATCAGAATCAGGGTGGAGAGATCAAGACACACTGCCACAAATCCACAGCTAGGATGACAGCTCTGCAGTAAGAAGTTCCAGGAGCTGAACACATGGGGGCGCTAACAAGGGAGACTAGGGCGGAGATTTGAGAAGCCAAAGGAATCCTTCTGGCTCACCACCTGTCTTGTATTCCTCTCCAGGGCCGGGGTAACCCAGCAGCCATGTCATCTGAAAACAAGAATAAGCCCAACGACCCCAAGAATGAGCCCAAGCACTGCGACCCCAGGTGTGAACAAAAGTGTGAGTCCAAATGCCAGCCCAGCTGTTTAAAGAAGCTGCTGCAACGATGCTCAGAAAAGTGCCCACAGGAGAAGTGTCCTCCACCGCCAAAGTGCCCGCCGTGCCCCCCACCGTGCCCCCCACCACCGTGCCCCCCACCGCCGTGCCCCCCTCCACCGTGCCCACCCCAGCCGTGTCCTCCCAAACCCTGCTCCAAATCCTGCCCGTCTAAGTGCCCCCCTGCCTGCCCACCTCCAGAGTGAGGCACCATGGCAGCCCCCGCCCTACCACCGTGTCCAACACCTGGAACTGACTCCATGACCTGACAAGTAAAGGTGACCTGCTGTGCACGATCTCCGGGTGTCTTGGTGGTTCACTTTCTCTTGCTGCTATTCTAGAGCATGAAAGCACCAAGAACCAATTCCCAAGGAGTGAGGTCAGAGCTGCAGACCTCCACTATGAAAGACCTTCAAGTTCTGGCTGTCCTCTGTCCCTGTCTGCTACTTAGAGGGACCTGCCTGTACTATAGGGTATATCACATGAACACAGGTTGAGCAAAGCCTGGTCCAGCGAAGCCTGCGAGATCCGTGAAGCAGCTGGTAAAATGCAGGAACCCCCGGAAGTGAGAAGTAGCCCGAGGGAAAAAGAGGAGTGGGACATTGGCAACAGGCTGAGAAAGAAAAGACCTTCTACCCACTTTGCTGTCAGTCCAATTTCATAACGTCTATGCAGGGGACTGTAAGTACTCATGCCTATGCAGAGGACTCTAAGTACCCACCATGTGAGTTTAAACTCGAGCTCTTCTCCCTTGCAACTTTGTGGCCTTATGCGAGCTGCTTACCCTTTTTGTGCTTTAGTCTCCTCCTCTCCGCCAAAGTTAGAGCCCTGCTCTGAGACTCAGAAGTTAGCCATTGCCTGGCGCCCAGGGTCCTGGAACATAGTGGGTGCTGGGTGAAGGGAACATGCTACACTTCCCCAGTGTAATGCTCACGTATTTGAACTTCATTGTTCTGTACTTCTCTTGTGGAGTGTAAGCCACCTGAGCACAGTGGGCAGGCTGTAATATATCCCACTAGAGTCAGCTAGACATTCCCAAAGAAGGAGAGAGAGAGAGAGAGAGAGAGAGAGAGAGAGAGAGGAATTCCTTGGCTTTGATACTATTTCCAAATGATAATTTAGATAGGAAAAAACTAGATCTGTATGCTGAGGATCCCAATTGGAATAGACACAGAGCTCACATGTTAGTAGAGGTCATTTACAAAGAGTTGAAGTCCATACCAGATTGACCTAATTCGCAAAAGGGAATTCAGTGGCTCATGTTGCTGAGGACATAGAAGTGAGACATGGAAGAGAAATCTGCAGCGACAAGGAAGCACCTCGGGCTGGGTACAGAGATTTGCACTCACTGTTTTAGTCTCCCTCAGCCTGCTCAGATATACCCCGTTCACTCTCAATGTCCCACCATGCACAGATTGGGTATGAGGCACTCCTGTGTCTCCAGGAAAGGACAGGGTGGCCTAGAAGGTCAAGTGCCCACTCCTTTGGGCAAGCAGATGACAGAGCTTTGGTCATATAGATCAAACACGTAATGGATTATTACAGTCCACTGTATTTAAATGGAAATAGGTTTAGCATTCTCCACAGTCATAGTAAGAGATCATTAAAAAGGTCAAGTTGGGCATAGCACTCCGATTCGTGGCACATCAACAGCTTCATCCTTCTGAGTTTAGAGGATGGCTCAAGCAGCAAAGGATGTGGCAATTGCAGAGAGCCCAAACTGTGCCCAATAAAAGATACCAGGGACCCCTTTGTGCCCCCATCACGTTATCAGCTAGATATAGAGGTAGACCTTTAGAAGAGGGAACAAGACAATGACTTCAGGGTACCACTTCATTTTCAAATAAAAAAACTAGTGCTTGCTTCTTCTGTATGAAGATAACTTGCAATCGAAGGGTCTTCAGGCAAAGATGAGAGCCTGACCCTAGGATCTCATACTCCAGCGCCCTGTTCAGAATGGTCTTCTGGAGACCAAGAACCACTAGAATCCCATCTTAGAGTACGAGGTGGGGGCTGTGGTGGACTGCAGCCGACAAGAAGAAAACACTCCCTCCTCCCAGGAGATCAGAAAGAAGAAAGAAGAAAAAGGCTGAAGGTATGAGTGATCATAGAGCAGATGCCTAACACTCACAAACCTCTGCCTTGACTCCCCAGCAGGGGGATAAAGAGAAAAATAAAAGAAGAAGGGAAAGAAAAGAAAAGGGAGAGAATGAAGTGATAATCTTTTGCATCTGTTATATTATCACTTTCAGAGAAGAAGTCCTAGAACTCCTGTGTGAAAACTTGCAACACTATTAGATGGACTACAAATAAATATCTTTTTAGAAAACAATATTGGCCAACATAGTAATATAGATCAAAGGCATAAAATGAGTCGATATTTTGACTCAATAGATTCACTTTATAGAATTTAAGTAAAAAAATAATTGCAACCTGGAAAGGAAGAAAAATGACTGCGAAATGGGAGGAAATGCTATATAGATGATCATCATAGTACAACTTTAAAAACTAAAAAAGTCATTAAAATGTGTAAAGAGGGGCTGGGGCGTGGCTCGATGCTGGAGGTCTTTCCTGTGTGCAGTAGACCCTGGGTTCAATTTCAAGCAAGAAAAACATGCTGTTGAGAAAAGAAGGGCTCCCTTGAATATGTGGCATAAAACAATTATCTGTAACAAAAAGCTTCAGGCCAGGGAGATAACTCAGTGGCGTAAGCACCTGTCAAACAATTGCAAGGTCCTGAGTTCAATTCCTGATACAAAAAAAGCGTGATTTCTGGCCAGGGAGATAGGTCAGTGGCTTAAGTGCCTGCCTGGAAAGGCACTGAGTTCAATCCCCAATACAAAAAAAAATTAATTGTAACAAAAAGCTTTAATCAATAAAACTAATAGAAAGAAATTTGTGGACATTCTCATATTTTAATCATCATGGGATGGTGGATAACTATTACTTTTTCCCACTGGTTTCATTAATATGCTTTTGTTCATTTTATAACAGAAAAATAATCATGAAATAATTAGGACCATTTCAGAGACCTCTCCAAAGCTGCTGGAAAACTTTGGAAGATCTCAGGAGAGGGCCGGGGAGATGGCTCAGTAGAATAAGTGCTTCCCTGGCAAGTGCAAGGGTCTGAGTTCAATCTCTGGTTCTATAAAAAAAAAAAAAAAGGAAGATCTCAGAAAATACTTGCAGGTGCCTTGCCTCGAGTGCCTTCCCTCCTGGGGTAGGACTGAAGGCTAAAGCCTCCAGGTGTCTCTGTGGCAGCTGGAGCTACAGCTGTGGCCCTGAGAACACAGCACAGGTGGGGAGGAGGCCACGCGGAGAACATGAAAGCGTCCACTGCCAAATTAGTTCTTGTTTCTCTCATGTAGATGAAACCAAAGATAGACATCTCTTAATGGCTGCTTTCCCAGCTAAGAGCTCGATCAAATGCTGTTCTGGGGAAGATTGCTAGAATGTGATGAGCAGGCCACTTCTCCACAGAATGCTATAATTACTTCCAGTCCCAGGATAGTCACCAGAGCTGGGCCCAAAGGGTAGAAGTTGAATAATGACGTCACTAGACTGTACAGCATAGGCCTGATGGTTCACAGATTAGGGAGAAGAGGAAGGACAATTCCTCTTCTTTCATGGCTCAACAGCCTCGGGGGCTCACAAAGAGAGTTACAAAGGGAGACAGCCCACCATAAATCCCCCTGTATTATCCCCTCTCAAAAATCTGGAACAGCATAGCTATCCTTGAAAAGAGGCCTCTATATCAACCCAAAACCTACAGGGTTGGGGGCAACTGGTCTAAGCAGACTGAACACTTCGAGTGGGCCCAGCACAAAAAGCCTTGTTTTGAATCTGGAAGGGACCTTAGAGGCATTTACCACTTCCAGCCCAGAAAAACAAACGGAGGCACATTTTAGTGACCTTTATTGGTGGCAAGTCCTGACAGTTGCTATGCCGCAGCTGTTGGTGCCTAGCAAGTACACAGGTGATTCAGTAAGTCATTTACCAAAGATTCCAAGGTACAACCTGATGAGAAAATGCATACTGGGCTATTTTCAGCTGCTCTTTTTTCCCAGGGACAGAAAAACTCAGATGTCTCACTTTGAAGCTATGTTCTCTCTCTCCTCTCCCCTCTCCCTTTTCCCTTCTTGCCTTTCTCCTCTCCCTTCCCTCTGTCTCTCTCACTCTCTCCATCTCCCTCCCTGTGTCAAAGGAAATCCTCCTCAGATTGAGGACTCATGCCCTTTTTTTCACCAGAAATCCCCTCATCTCTCACTTATACCACTCAAAAAGCCTTAACTGGCTGGCAAAGTGCACCTTCTTCCAGTCTTACCTCCAGGGGAAGCCAGTCAAGAATTACTGATAAAACTCAAATCTAAAGGGCTGGGGAGATGGCTCAGTGGAATGAGCACTTCCCTGGCAAGCACAAGGGCCTGAGGTCAATCCCTGCTTCCACAAAAAAAAAAAAAAAAAAAAAAAAAAAGACTCAGATCTAAATCTATTGCTTAATCACTTAAGAGGCTCCTCTTTGCCTAGGCCACTGCTTGAATGACTATCTGCTGTGTGAAAGTCTTCGTGATCTAGCCCCTGCCTCCCTCCATACCCTTCTTGCCACTTTTCTAATTCCATCAAGAATTTCCCAGCCCAGGAGCAGATAACTGTTGCATTTGCTGGCACAGGGCAGAGAGTTTTGGCTTTGAGACTTAGCACTTGTGTAGCATTTCCATTTTTCCTTCACTAAATTCTGTCCTCATCCTTTAATCCAACTCAGGTATCACCTCCTCTAAGAAGCTTCCTAATCCTCCGCCCTGAGGCTGATTAAATGCTCTGTGTGTGTGTGTGCGCGCGCGCGCGCGCGCACACGCGCGTGCTCACACACGCTCCTCCAGTCTCCATGCCTTCCTCCTCTGTGTTGCCCAAAGTACATTCTGGTCAGTTGTAACCTGACTGTCCCATACACTAAGCTCGCAGAGAAGATACATACCGCAGGCATTCCGTATGGAGTGGGTGGGTACCCAGTGGAGTGAGGTGCACATTTCCAAGAATGAAAAGGCTGCTTTGGACTGACACCAATGCACTGTGCTCCTACTGCAGAGAGAGATGTCAGATTTTAGCAGTGGGAAAACGGGGGAAGACAGTGAACATGAGGGGCCTGGGGCTGAGAGACAGCCCTACTCTTGGTCACAGTCTTGTGCCTGGCCAATCCTTGTGGGACATGATGCTGATCCTGCCACCCTCCTCCACACATCCTCCATGCGGTCTCTCATCTTGGAAGGCATGGGGGTGGGGT